GGGGGACAGAGGAGTGGCGCATCGGCCGTACCTGGAGCGACCAAATTTCCCGTGGAGATGCCAATTCGCACGCCATTGCGGAAGAACAGGATGAAAAGCTTCGAGTGCTGGCTGCCGAAGCTGGGCAAAGGGGGAGGCGGGAGGGGGCAAAGGGGAGGCGGGTCAGAGGATGCCAGGTGGACGGGCATGCTTCTGGCCCATGTCGCGGGAGGAGGCAGAAGCGCAGGGGAAGAGAATGGAGGGAAGAGGAGGACACACCTCAGGACATTGGTACGCGGCACGAAGACGCGCAGGTTGGCCGGGGCATCGGGCAGGAAGACCTCGCGGCTGGAGGAGGGCCCCGCCCGGGGGGGCGGTCGAGCACCGGGGGGCGGCGACCGGGGGGGAGGAATGCCGGGCGGCGACCGCTCCAGCGGTGCCTGGAGCGCTGTTTCCGGCACGCAGCCGGCGTCCATGATGATGGCCACCTCACGCGCACGGCGCAAGAAGCGCGACTGGCCGAACAGCCAATCGGCATCAAGGTCGAAGGTGGTCAGAAGAGCGGCGTCCAGGGGCCCGCTGGTGTCATCCGAGTAGAAAAGATCCGCCAGGCCGATGGCCGACGAGTGGATGGTCGACGCCAGACCAGCGTCCATGGCCGAGGGGTGGGTCAGTCGGAAGAGCGTCGGGCAGGGGCGCAAGTCGACCAGCGGCGGCGGGGGAGCGGGCTCCTGGTCATCCGACAGGCTGATGACAATCTCATCATCCGCGTGTGGCGCTGGGGAGGTTCCCGAGCTTGAATGATCGAATTGCAGCCGGTGGAGGTGCCCCTCATTGGAGCAGGCCCGACCGCTGGGGCAGCATGGAGCCGGGGCCCGGCGGGCAGCCGGGGGATTCGCATCGCCGGGAGACGAGGTCAGGTCGATCAGAAGCCCATCATCATCACCCCGTTCCATAGTATCAGCAAGGTGGAGAGGAGGGAGAGGGGAGGAAGAGGAGAGGAGGGAGGAGAAGTGCTTGGACGCGGGGGGGGGGGGGGATCATGAGGGGGTCTGTCAAGGCGATGCTCTTGGGCACAGGGCCCCGTGCAGGTTGCCCAAGAGGCGGGGAAAAAAAAAAAACAAATGAAGAGAGACAGGCCGCCGAGTGAGGGGGCCGTGAAAGGTCACATCCCGGAGAGGAATGGACCGAGAGGAGGAACCAGGGCGCCGGGAAATCGCGCGCGAAGTAGCCCGGAGGGCGCCGGAGATCGCCCGGCCAGCAGGACCGCGCCACCGATCGGCGTTTGCGAACTGATACTCCATGTGGCGTGATCCGACATGGGCGTGATCGGATATTATTGAAATATCCGACATCGTGGCGCTGGCGCTCCACCGTCTTCCGGTGGGCTTACATAAGGCGGGTCCCCGGGGGGCGGGCGATTTTTGACTAGAATAGCGCTCACTATTCAGGGGCCGGATCTCGCGGCCCGGGGGCGAGGTCCGGCGTTTGTCCCGCAATCGGCGCCGGGGCAGGCCCCCGGCCGGGTCCCTGTTGCCGCCTCCCTCACCACAGCGCGGGGCGAGCTGGGCGGAGGCGGCTCGCCCGGCACGAGCGAGGAAACCCGAGGGGGCGGGGGGAGAGACGCTCCCGGGAAACTTCGGGCCCCGAGCGCCGGGGACCTCCTGGCAAACTCGCCGAGCAGGCGAGAAGAAGGCAAACGGGGTAATAAATATTCCCCGATGTTAATATCCTGTGTCGCTGGTGGTCGGATATCGTGCGGCGCGGGACTATTTCGGGCTCGGATTCATCCGGCGGTGTTCTTCCCCCCGCTGGCGGCTGTAGCCAGGTAGTAAAGCGCCGTCCGGCTGTGTGTGAGTGTGTATGTGTGTGTGTGTCGTCCTGGCCGCCTGGGGTACTCTGGTCTGGCACCGGGCGGCGACCTTCCATCCTGCCTGCCAGCAGACATGTGCCTCTTACTGGCCTGCCAGATGTCGCCCGAGGGGGCTGGGCGTGGCTGCGCAATCCCACGATCGGCGCCACCTCTCTGTCGAGACCCTTCTGTGCCGGTCCCCTCCCCCCCCCATTCCCATCTGCGCCCATGCGCATGCACGCTTGCAAGGGGAGTTCATGGGCCGGGCGGGCCCTTGCAACGGCCGTACACCACGGCGCGCGGCCTCTACCTGTACCCCCCCCCCCCGCATCGTCGGATTATCTTCGGCTATCGCACTGTTTTTTCGTCAGTCTCGCCAGGTGTGGACCGGAGGAATGCCCCTCATTCTTTGGTCGCGCCCCCCCCCCCCCCCCCCGGCACAGGCAGGCGGGCCCAGGCCCAAGGGAGAGGCGCGGGGTTCCCCAGATGGCCCGTGCGCCTCCACCCCGGTTCCCGGTCTGCCACCCTTTTCCCAGGCGCCGGGGGCGGGGGGGGGGGCCGGCAGCCACACTTGTGCACCCGGCCCCCGTGCGTCGCGCCTGTTCCCGCCTGCGCTTCTCAGGTGGGGCACGAAATTTCCAGGCCGGCCCTCGGGGCTGGGCGAGGGCGGGGTCTTGCGCCCCAAACACGAGGCCCACGGGCGGTCCCCATCAGCAGCCCTCGCCGGCAGCCCCCCACCTCCCCGTGGTACCCCCGCGAGCCTTGCGCCGCGCCACTCCCCCCCCCCCCCCCTCGCCCTGTTGTGCCGTGGCGAGGTGGAACAGCACGAGGGGCAAAGAGGGACCACCGCGCCGGCGCAACGCCCCGCGGATGCCCACGGATCTTACGCACGCTCTTCAACAAGCGCGGAGCACCTCCCCCAACCCCTGGGCTGGGGGATTCCTGGACGGTGTTCCTCCCCCCCCGAGCGTGTCGGTCTCGGCGGACGCGAGTGGCGGGCCCTCCGGCCGGCTGTTGTCCGAGGGATGTGCCCATGTATGCGCCTATGCGCCTATATGCCTGTGTTCCTGTGTGCCTGTGTGTGTGTGTGGGGAGGGGGGGGGGGGGAGTGTCCTGCATGTTCGCCTGGGCTGGTGCTTACGGGTGCATTGTGCACGCGTGCATGCGTTCGGTCCCCGGGGGGATACGCCGAGGGTTTCGAAATCGTGCGATCCTCGTGCCGGGGCAGGGGGTCGGTGCGTTCTCCCCAGGGGGCACACAGGCCCCGGCGTGTTGTTGTTTCCCTCGCTCCGGCGGCCCTCCTTTGCCGGCCCCTTCTCCCGGGCGCGGCTGTAATCCGCCCGGCGAATTACCAGCACAGGGACGATCGATTATATAATCACCGACGCGCGTCCCTCCGGCTGTTTGCCCCGTCTGGCTTCGGCCCGGGTGCTGGCCTCCCTGGCTCTTGGTTCCACCGTGGCCCGAGCACGTCGCTCCTTTTTTCTCGCGCTCTCTCTCTCTCTCTCTCCCTCCTTTACGGCCGTCCGCTTGCCGTTTCCCCCACGCGCGCGGCCTTCCTCTGCATGTGTATTTCGACTTCAGCATGTAGGTCGGCCGCTGATCAGCACTGCCTCGCGACCACGTCACCGACTTCAGGGCTTCCAAACGGTCGATGGAGAGGAGGCACGGCGGCTGAGTGTGTCCGCCCACGCCACCACCCTGCGTGCCTGGGGTGGGGGGGGG